GCTAGGAATTCCTCTGCTTTTTCCTGCAACTACAGGTTTTGCAGAGAGATCCGAGGAGCAGGAGGAAGGGCTTTGAAAGATTTGGGAGAATATGCGTGGCATTGCTAGGCAGAAAGGTTGGGGGGGGGTAGTTTATGCTTCCACCTCAGATACGTGTGGTGAGCAGAGACACCCACACATTTGCAGGAATTTGAATTTCTCCTTGTGACAGTCTGGCTCTGCAAAGAAATAACCTTTTATTTTGCTGAACTGTCGGCTGGTGGATCAGGCACAGATCAAATTGCAAGATTCTCTGGGCGAAGGAGCCTTTTACATGTTGGCTTAATTAGCTCTTTTCAGAGCTGCGAGGTGCTTCAGTGCATACAAATGCATCCCACGGAGACAACTCCGCTTTGCCAGGCACAGCCTATTTACGCACAGTTCCTCTCCAACATCCGTGGGATGGCTCCGTTTCCCTTTATTCCAGCTCCCTCCAGTTAAGGCTGGCAGGCAGTGTCTTACTTTCTAAAAGATGCTTCCCCTCCCAGAAAGAGAGAGTCTTTCGAAAGCTTCTGTAGTGGGGAGAAAGCAGAGCACCGTTCCTGAAGTCTAACCCTTTCAGGGAACCGGGATCTTGCCCTGCTCAAACCTCTCCCCTCCTCCTCCTCCCTCCCTCCCTCCCCCCAAAAATCTCAAGGTAGAACCAGAAGGGCCTGATTCAGTTCTGGGAATCAGTCCTACCCTTTTCTTCACTCAGGATCCCCCCTGTAGGCCAAGCCACATTGTGACAGCTGCAGCCCACTTTGCTTGGTGAAATGAGGGAGGTGAGGAGGGGTCCAGTTTTTAAGATTTCAGAGTGGATAAAGTTGATGGATTGTTCAATATGCAGGCTGGCCATGGGGGAGGCACAAGACTGATCAGGAAACACTCAGTGTGGGCTTCCTATGACCAGAGTATTTGGAATTGGTAAGCAATTTAACATGGACTCAATATTTCTGCCACATAGCTACTCCTCTCTTCTTTTGAGAGGTTTCATTAAGGTGCATATAGTTTGTGGGAGTGATCAAGGTCCTTTTGGCGTGGCAGTCTGGTCAGTGCAGCCTAACATTTCCTGGGCAGGGGGTCTCCAGAAAGCACTTGCTCCCCCCCCCTTTTCCATCCTGCAAATGGAAGCTCCCTTGTTGCTAAAAGGGGTCTGTCTGTCTGTCAGCTTCTTGAATAATTCATGCTGATGAAATATGAATGGGCAAAGCATGAAGAGCAGCCACAGATAGAAAGCATGAAAGCCCTACAGTCCTTTAAAGGCTCCAGGTTCTGGGTGCGCTCAAAAAGCAGGATGGGATCATGTGTGGCCACGATGATTTCAAATCCAGGCAGCAAAGCAGCGTTTATCCTTAGCACTTATGATGTTACCTAATCAGGTGATGAAACATTGGTGAGAAAATCACCAAGTTCAGAGAGCACCAAAGACTCCACACTTCAACCCTGAGCCACAATTATCCTCTTCCACTGTAATGCTTATCCTTATTACCCCTGCTTTGTCCCAATCCTAACCCAAACCCAATATCTTGGTTGTTATCAAACTACCAAAATACTGATAACTCACCTCATCCACCCAAAAGCTCCCCTAGCATATGACTTAGCAGTGCAACATAAATTCTGCTCCTTGGTTGAAGAAATATGAAATATTCTCTTTGAGATGCTTGTTAATCTCTGAATATCCCCAAAGGAACCACAGCAGGCCCTTCGTATTTGTGGGTGTGTCAAATGTATTTATTTAGCCAGCTGGGAGCCAAAGTGCCATTGTCTGAGATCCCAGAGATATATTTGCATTCCCAGCACTTACTGACCTGGTAGCTTTTGCTGGATTCGTTGCCATCTGCACAGGAAAACAGATTTAGTTTCTGGCAAGCAACCAAGATCCTCCGTCATTAAATAGCGTGCATATTTCTTTGACTTCATGAGCTATCACTTCTGAGACGCCCTTTGGCACAACTTCCTTCAAACAAAGATAGAAACTTTCTCTGAAAAATCTGACTTCCGGGCAAGACCTTGCTATGACTCCCCAGCAGAAGACTTCAGCTTATGTCTGGTAGCAAACAGAGGTGCTAAGCCAGGTGCGCCGATTCTGGTTTCTTCCAACCTCCACGGAATCTCTTCCATTCTTGACTAGAGTCGTCAAGTTCCGCCGGACAGGAGAAAGCACCCGATCCGAAGAGGATGCCGTGTCAGGAGAGCACGAAGTCCAGATTGAGGGTGTCCAGACCGACTTGGAAGCTGTAGAGTTGGAAGATGGAAGCATTGTGCCAAAGGAGTTTGCCAACCCAACTGATGGTGAGTGGATCGCTTGGCCCTTGGCCTTGAGGGGGAAAAAGCAAAGGGGTCATAGGCAGCCCAGTGCATGGAAGCAATCTGGAGATGGGACTGTGAGAAGTGAAATCCCCTTCTCTCCCTTGCAGATACTTTCATGGTGGAAGATGTGGTGGAAGCAATTGGGTTCGGCAAGTTCCAGTGGAAACTCTCCGTCCTGACTGGCTTAGCATGGGCAAGTAGACGGATCTGCCAATCTTGATGGGTTCTTGGGCAGTATTAGATCGAAGCAAGGCTGGGCTTGACTGGTCCACCTAGATAGGGGGGGGGTGTCTCCAAACTCAGCAACTTTAAGACTTGTGGACTTCAACCCCCCCTTAGCTGGCTGGGGAATTCTGAGACTTAAGTTTCTTAAGTTTCCACGTTTGGAGATCCCTGACCCCCTAGGCCATGGGGCACATCGGTTCTGAAGGACCTTGGCGAAGGGTTGATAACATTGCCTCCTTTCACTTCCAGATGGCTGATGCCATGGAAATGATGATTCTGAGCATCTTGGCACCTCAGCTTCATTGTGAGTGGCGATTACCCACCTGGCAGGTTGCGTTGCTCACATCGGTAGGAAAATACCACACAGCTCCTCCTGTATCCTCTAAGGGGTTTCCCCTTGTTTCCCCCCCGTGGGATGTGAACACAGGGGCAGGGGGGGGGGGGGGAAAGGCCCACTATTTTCAGCAAGTAGGTTTAATAAAGCAGGGAGCATGAAAATTCTTGACATTGCTAGAAGTAAACTGTAGACATTCCTATGCATGGCAATGAGAACGGTTATGGCAATGTTAGTTTCTATCCCGTGCATAGAATTCCCCGAGTGATTGCCTCCAGGTAATCCCATTCCATGAAGCCATGGGCCCATAGAACAGTGTTTCTCAACCTTGGCCACTTGAAGATGTCTGGACTTCAACTCCCAGAATTCCCCAGCCAGCATTCGCTGGCTGGGGAATTCTGGGAGTTGGAAGTCCAGACATCTTCAAGTGGCCAAGGTTGAGAAACACTGCCATAGAAGACTATCGATACATTTGAACAAATAAGGGACTGAAGTGAATGAGTCAAAAGTGATTAAGGATTGCTTGTCATGTTTCTCCTGATAAATGAATTTCACCTGCCACCCCAGTGTGTTGCGTTATTATTATTTATTATTATTTATTAT